CGGCGACGCAGCCTGGCGGAAGGGGCCGGCCCCGCCCGCCGCCCGCCCGTATGGCCCCGCCCGACGCACGCACGCATGGCCCCGCCCGACGCACGTACGCTCGCCGGCGTGGTCCCACCCACCGCTCGCTCTTGGCCGTCGTCCTTTCGCTCTTCCTTCGCTCATTCCCTCTGGCCTCGGCTTCCTCGCCTTCACCGATGGCCTCGTTTCTCCTTTCGCGGGCGCAGAACCCACGCCCTGGGCCTGCGGAGGGGTTAGGGGGACAGGCGGGTCCAGGCTGCGGGGGCGGGATGACCAACGCTGGACAGTGGGAGCGGGCTGGGTGTGCATGCTTTCTGAATTTCAGAACTGACGCTTTTAGCCAAGTAAATTTTCTTTTTTGTTCTTATTTATTACTTTTTATTTTATTTTATTTTAATTTGAGCAGAGAGGAACAGAGTAAGAAAAAGAGAGGGAAAGTGAGAAAGCAAGCTGCCAGGTCAAGGACCTGAACTGCAGTTTACAGTGTAGGAGTCCAGCGCCTTTAACCATCAGACCATCTGCCAGCCCTGCCAAGAAACACACACACACACACACACAAACCCAGCCGCTGACCTCGCAGCAGCCTCTTGACGCTGAGAGTACTGTGCTTGAGGATGTGGAGCGCAGCCCACCCTGGAGCCCCTGGAGCCCCTCGAGCCCCTGCGCAAGGGCCTCCAGGTGCGCTGCGCAGTTGCAGGCATGGGTTGTGGGCGCCAGGCCAGCAAACTCCCAGGAACTTGGCTTCCCCTACGCAAGACAGGGACATTCGTGCCATAGGGTTGTGGCAAACACCAAAACCTACGTGTGCTTCCAACTAGGCCGAAGCCTGGGCACTGTGGGGCTGTCCTGGGCCCAAGGGTGCAGCGCTTGGCAGATCCATCCAGCTGTGGGCGTGCCAGGTCTCCCGGTCCCACAGGCTCATCCTGGGCTGATGAGCTCCCCATGCTGAGTATGAGAGACCCAGTGGCTGCACCCCAGGCTGGACTTCAGAGTGCTACTGTCACAGAGGTGGGTACCAGTGCAGGGTACTCGCACTCCCAGGGCCTGCATTCTCCTGCAGCAGACAACATGCCACGCCACACCTGGGGCAGCTGTCGGGCTGCGTGTGTGTGCACTTGCACGTGTGTGGTTGCTATAGGGTGTGTATGCACACTCAACAGAGACAGGGAGGAAAAGTCACGAACAGCCATGCAGGGAGATGACTGCGACACAGGCCCTTCTCTTTTGATTCCCTGGGACTCAGCTGGTGAAGGTGGCCATGTGAGACCAGACCTTAACCACCGTGCCACCAGCTGGCTCACCAAGGGCCTTTCTGAGGGTGGAGCTCGGCCTGGGTGGACAGGTGGGAGCTGCAGGCAGGCACCGGAGGGGTAGGTGCAGTTCCCAAGGAGGTAGTCCAGGCTGCTGGCAGAGACAGGGCCTAGGCCTGGCAGGTAAAGGCCCAGGGAACCTCTTGGCCTGCATGTCCATGGGTCAGAGTTCACAGGGCACAGTGGCCAGCCCTGCTGCGTATTCAGGTCCAGGCCTAGGAGACGTGGGACGGTGCTGATGAGCTGGGCCTCTGGACCTCCTGGCAGCTGGGTGGGCTGGCCCCATCTCAGGATGGCAGCCCAGGGGAGTCTGCCCTCCACCAAAACTAGAGCTCAGACAGCAGCCTGGTCCCCTGGGGGGTGGCCCACACTCCACAGGACCCTTTTATCCTGTCTAAGGAAGGGCTGCCCTGGTGCCCCTCCAGGTTCTCCTGCTGGGGTCCTGGCCTGCCACCCCAACCCCCCACCCCATCCCCCAGAAAAGAAAGCATTCGGGACCAGCAGTTAGCATAATGGCTATGTTGCTGAACTCCCATGTAGCTGACCACGGTTTGAGTCCTGGACTCTGTGGCTTAAGCTCACGCAGGGTGTGTGTACATGTGTGCCCAAGATCCCGAGAGGAGAATGGAGGAGAAGGGATTGCAGTGTGGCCATCCCCCCTGGGGAGTGATTTCTCGCTTTCTGTCTCTCTCTTTCTGGGGAGTGCATGCGTCCTATAGCAAAAACCTCTCCAAAAAAAAGAAAGCAATCTTCAGGGGCCTCCAAAAAGAAGCCCTTGGCAGGGACGGCTAGAGTGCTCAGTGGGCAGAGGTCGTGTTTTCAGGACAGCCCGGGGGCAGGCGGGCAGCAGGCACAGAATCGAGAACCAACAAACCTCATCGTTGGGGGTCTGGGCTGGCCCTCCATGTCCGAGGTCACAGAAGTGCTGGCCAGCCAGGTGGGGGGTGGTGCCCAGCTGGGGGTGGCACGTCCCAGGGCAGGCCTGGGGAAGGCCAGGGCCCCCTCGACGGCGGCACAGCTGTGCCGGCTCTAGAGTGTGCAGAAGGGGCCTGTGTCGTGGCGCTTGGGCCGGCGCACACCCTGGATGACCACTGTGGGAGCCGACGGGAAGCGTGAGTTATAGCAGTCCTCCACGGAGTAGGCAGCTGGGCCTGGGGTCTGGGCTGTGGAGGAGAAGGCTGGCAGCCCACCCAGGCGGCAGCCTCGTCACCCCCAGGCACTGGCGCAGGGCTGTTGGACGCTGGCCCTCCCCTGCCCCAGGCCTCCTTACACGAGCTAGCCCAGGGGGTGGAAGAAAAAGGTTCATGGAGAAGGCGGGCGAGCGCGGGCTCCGCAGAAGGCACCCAGGGAGGGTGTCATAGGTGGTAGGGCTGGGACGGGTCTCCCTGGGGCCCTTGGGAGGGGCCTGCACCAAGGGCTTCACGTGGAAGCCCGGCGCCCTGGCACGGAGCAGTCCCGGGCGGCCGCGTCCCTCGGGTGTCTTGGAGGTAGGATGGCCTCCAAAGCTGAAGGCTGGGAAGGCAGGCCTGCCACGCGGCCAGTAGTCGGCAGGCGATGGCCACTGCGGGAGGCAGGAAACCGGGCTGCAGGCCCTCTGCTGCGCCACCAGTCCCCTCCAGCCGCCCAGGCCTCCGCCCCCAGCCCCGTACCGACTGTTCCCGGTTAAAGTCTGCTTTCTGTGTGAAAGGACTTTCGCTCTGCAGCCATGCCGTCTGCCACGCCCTGCGGCCACCACCCTCTGCAGTGGGGAAGAAGGTCCCGGCAAAGAGGACTTGGCCACAGGGGCTCAGGGCAGAGCGGAGGCCTCCTTCCCGCAGTCGGGGTGGTCTGGGCAGTGGGACTTGGGAAGGGCTCACGCACCTCGGCCAGGGTACCTGCGGCCGAAGCTGTAGTGTGGGTGCGGAGAGGACTCGCGGACAGACGCACTAGGCACCTCGTACTTGGTGGGGCCGGGGATGTCCAGGTCGACCGTGAGCGGGGGCCGGCGCTCCAGCACTGATCGAGGGAAGCAAGGTCTGAGGCTTGTCCCCGCCCTGCCCTGCCTCCCCAGAGCAGTCTGCAGGTCCAGGTGGGCTAGCTGGGACCCTCACTCACGCAGCTCCCTCAGGATCCAGGGGCAGAAAGGCTGGGGCTCTCGGCGGGGGGGGG